GCTCAAATTTGGACACAGGTGGGCTGAGCGGGGTGGGGACTGTGCGTCTGGTGACAAGGCGAGACGTGGGAGTGGGCTTCGGAATGTGAAATGCATTTTGGCGCGTCTCGCTTCTCACGCTGGGCTGAGCGCTCAGCTTGTTCTCGCATTTCACGAGTCTATTTTCGAGAAAAAGACGGGTCCAGAGGCGAAGGGCTAGACTCGGGATGTCACACACAAAGAGGTCTTGCTCCAGCAGTCGATGGCTCTTTCTCAACTTGTGGTGAGCCCGTTCAAACAACCATTATTGAGAGGGACGATACAGTGCGGTGCGGCGTCGGCGGACGCACTCGGAGAAGCTGTTCTCCATCACGTTGCAATGATGAAGCATGGCGGTGCTGTTGTGCGTCAATTCACGAAATCCACCCACTGCTTCAGTTTCGAGTCAGAGGCTGACTTGGAGCGTCGGGATCATCCGGCAACGTGTGATCCAAATGCGTGGGTCAAGGCTGTGCTCTTGTGATAAGGGCAAGTCAAAGTGAAAGCGAAACGCTGGCGAAGAGGAGCGACGGACGCATTCCGAATGAATGACAGAGAGCGCGTTGTGGCTGAATATGCAGCGACAGGAGTCAAAGTCTTGGCTTGCATGAACCCCTTTGGTTGGTGACTCTAGAAAATCGTCCGTGGAAGCTGCGACGTGGGACACGGTCACAAATTGTTCGCGGCTGTGCTGCGTTCCATCTCGGATCCAACACTCCGCTGCCACAGACCATTATCAGACCACCCCTCTATCCTGTGGCATCTGATAAGCGATGTCGACGACGTGCACTGCGATCTCTTGGCTTTGCTGTCAAGCACACCTCTTCTCCCATGGTGCTCCTGGAGAAATGACGTCGAGGCCAGGCGCTTCCGCCAGCACGCGGAACACGTGCATAAGCCCCCCTCTCTTCCGCTCTCGAGCCTCTCCATCGATCCTCGAAGGGCAAGCGGAGCGGATCTCAATAACCACAGAGGGGCCATAGCGTCGCTGGCAATGCGGGCGTCAGCTTCAGAGACGGTCTCAGGCACGGCCTTCTGCAGACCAAGGGCGAACAAAGTGTAGGTCGCATCGCCGATCCGAAGTTTGCCCGATCTTGCCCCACTCGGCTTCTTTCTCGGTCTCTTGGCTGGGTCGTTTCAAATGCAGCACGGGCCAAAGCCCTGCATTCCTCTCCACCTTTCGACGTTGACCTCAGCCTTCACTCGCTGCCATCGCCATCGACTCACCTCAAGAATACCTCCGGAAGAATCTGTACGGTCGGCATCCACTAAACAGACACCTGCAGAAGTTTGAGCATGTCTGTCTCGTCCAAGTACGAAGGGTGCAGTTCGTGGCAAGAGATTGCAGCCAAGCATCGCGAAACCATTAGGCTGCCGACCGGCACCGTCTCCGACGATTATGCTCTCGGCGAGTGGAGTCGGAAGGCGAATCAGAACGACGTCTCGCCCTCAAATAGCAAGCCAGGCCCTTCACTCGCCTCGCTCCTCCAACACGAATCCACCAAGCGCATCTGGTCGTCGAGCCTCGATGACGTCCTGCAAGACTTGGACGCTACTGGTATCTGCGGACTGACACGCTCGGGCAAGGTGTCAGTTCAGGATGTCACGCGGCACTTTCTCAGCCGCGCCTCGATAGTGCACCAAGCCACCAACTGCCTCTCGCACTTCTTCCCCGACGAGGCCATGCACCGAGCCAAGCAGCTCGATAACAAGCGCTCCCAACTAGAGAAGGAAGGTCGTCTCGACGAGCTTGGTCACCTCTTTGGCCTACCAATGAGCATTAAGGGCCACATGAACTACAACAAGCACGGCAGCCAGCGCGGCTTTGTCTTTGACGTCCTTCCCGATCCTGCAAACCACCCCCTCCTTCAACGCAATCTCACCCCCAAACAGCTGCAGCTTCTGGTGTCGACGCAGGGCGGCTTTGTCAGCGAGAATCCCGTCAACTCGAGCATCGCAGCGCTGCTACTGCAGAACGACGCTGTCATCATCGGCAAGACTACCATGCCGCAAGGCGTGATGCATCTCGACACTACCAACAACCTCTACGGTCAGACGCTCAACCCGCACAACCTAGCGCTGAGCCCTGGTGGCTCAAGTGGTGGCGAGAGCGCTCTCGTTGCTGGCGGTGGGAGTGCTCTGGGTGTCGGCTCAGATATCGGCGGCTCGATCCGACAGCCGTGTGGAGTGTCCGGGCTTTACGGGCTTAGACCGACGACGCAACGTCTGCCCTACGGGGGTGTGCGGTCGACCATGCCGGGAGCAGAAGGCGTCGGATCCTCACTCGGTCCCATGGCGACGAGTCTGCGCGATGTCGAGTTGTTCATGTCGAGCCTGCTCAACGAACAGACGCGGCCGTGGGAGTTCGACCACACGGTCATCCCCACACCCTGGCGCAAGGTGGACAGTCTGTTATCGAGTCCCCGCGACAAGCCGATCATCGTCGGGGTCATGATGGAGGACGGCGTGGTGCGACCGACTGCTCCAGTCCGTCGAGCTCTATCGCAATGGGTCGACAAGCTGCGCACCGCCTCGAGCGCAAGCGGGACCAGCCTGCCACGCATTGAGCTCCGCCGGTGGGATCCGCGCGACCTCCACCGACGAGCATGGGACCTCATCCGCCAGCTCTACTATATGGATTCAGGCAAGATGTTTCATCTGCTCGCCAAGGCCACAGGCGAGCCTTTGCTGCCTCTCACCCAGTTCATTCTCTCCGAGCCGTTCGTTCGCTCTCCCACTGCGGACTTGGAAGCGGACGCTGCGGGGGAGCCGACGAATCGCAAACTCGACGAGATGAGCTACCTCGAATCGTGCGCGGTCATTCGGGCACGAGAAGCCTTCCGCAAAGAGTTCCTCAAGCACTGGAACGACCTGGAGCTAGACTGCCTGCTGTGTCCCGTCATGTGCAACGTGGCACCGCGACCGGCCACCATCAAGTACTGGGGCTACACAAGCGTCTTCAACCTCGTCGACTATCCCGGTGTCGTCTTTCCCTCTGGCCTCAAAGCGGATTCGAAGCTCGACGAGCAGTTTGAGAGCGCTCCGACGGACGGCGAGTTTGGGTACGAGGCGAGGAGCGGATGGTGCAGCGAGCAGGATCGGGAGAATGCACAGGAGTATGAGGAGCACCAAGAGGTGTTTGATGGCGCCCCGGTGGGTCTGCAGCTCATCGGAAGGAGGTACAAGGATGAAGAGCTGCTCAAGCATGCCGAGCTACTGCAGCACCTCTGTGGTAGCAACAGCGATTGAAATGCAATTCACAGGCATCACCGCGGCTATTGTGATTGACTGGCTGCATGTCGTGAATCGGGAGTTGCTGAGCAGCAGAACCAAGGACGACAGCGAGTGACCAGAATGAGAAAAGCCATTTGCCTCGACACCAGACATTGCAGATACGGCCGAAGCCGCCTCGAGCAATCTGTCAGTCAGAGATCTCGGACATATTTGCCTGAATGAAGCGTTGATGCGTTCCCAGAGCGATGCGACGGCATCCAACATCCTTGTGCCCAACACGTCTGCCAGCTCGGAACCATGGCAAATCTGCAACGCTGTCGCTACACTCCCAAAGCTGAAGGAGCTCGGTCTTTGATCTATCTCGACCAACGTGTCACTTGCTCCCATGATCGACGCACACAAGTTGGGCAAAGACCAGGACACTTGTCGTATCCTCCCGGAACTCTCCACGATTCGCGTTTGCCACGCCGTGGATCCGCCGGGCTCCCTCATCTGCGGACTCTGCGAGCTCCTGCTCCTTCGATTCTTCCTCAACCAAGGATGCTGCCTCGGCGAGGCCAGGATGCAAACCGAGGCTGCGCTGCAGGTCGACTATTTAGCGCACGCCACAAGCTCGGAATGGCCAAGGCACAAGACACGAATTTTGTCGACGTCTTAGCAGCAGGAGTGACCGAGAGGGGAGCCTTTAGTGCCACCAGGCAAGAGCTTCTCAAAACCTGGAACGAGCTCAAGTTGGGCTCTTCGGCTTCGCGTCCAACGAGCATCAAGTACTGGCGCTACACGAGCGTTTCCTCAATCTCGACGAATCCCTTGGCGTAGTCCTGTCTCTGGCCTCAAGCAGACGAGAGCGAAACCGGACGAGCAATCTTTGAGAGCCGCGCGACGACCAAGGACAACCATGCCTACGCACCGAGAGACGTCTGGATGGGCGAGAGCGACAAGAAGAGCGCGGAGGGATAAAATACAAGCAGCATCGTCCAGTCTCTGACAGCGCTACTTTGGGTCTGCACCTCAAAAAAGCTGCTCAAGTCTGCCGAGCTGTTGTAGCATCTTGTAGGCAGCAACAGCGACTGAAATGACATTCACGGGCGTCACGGCGGCTGTGGGGACACAATGAATGCATTTCAAGAGACACTGAGAGACGAGAATGAGTGCGTGCTCGAGCAAGGCTCGGTTCAATAATAGGCTCCTCGGTAGCCGTGCTGGCCAGAGTGCGAGCCAAACTTCTTCGACGTGTCCACCTCAACAATGCGGCCAATGAGCTGCTTGAGCAGTGCGTTCGAGCTCTCCACCAGATGCTTGCTCATGCCTCGAGATACCACCAGGTTCTGCAGAACGGATTTATCGAACTCCTCTCGCTTGAGACCGTCGCTGGTGGTGGTGAAGGTGCCCTTGTACGTGGTGCTCTCCGCGGCCTCCGCTGCCGAGGCGTTGATGGCCTTCTTGCGTTGCGCCTTGGTCATGCCGTAGCCGTAACTGGTACTCGAAAAGTGAACGAGCAGCGCTGCTTCGGACCGAATCTTCGCTTCGCCCAAGCTGCAACCCTGCTTGAGGTAGAATCGAAGGAGCAGGAGCTCGCTCAACTCGCGATCGAGGGAGGTTGATGATACCGTTGTAGTGCAAAGACGGATGGTGTGCAGCTCTGGAAGAATCAGGCAGGTGTTGTTGTCTGCACCCACCTTGTGTGCGTCAACCAGCGGAAGAAGGGTCATGTTGCTGGACACGGACCAGAGGCCGAGCTCCTTCAGCTTCGGCAGCGTAGCAATAGCGTTGAAGATCTGCCTTGTTTCCGAGCTGGCAGTTGTTGATGGCATCAGGATATCGAGCTTCCTGAGCGAGGGGCTCTTGAGAACCACAGCAGCGATCCTTGATTGATTCTGAGCGCCAGGCGAGAGAGAGTTGGGTCCTCGCTGGGCGTTGAAACGTGCTTCTTCCAAGGCTGGAAAGAGACACTCGATGAAATGCTCAGCCCACAGAGCGCTGAGCTTACGGAGCTTCGGAAACAGGATGGGCTGAGTAGGTAGCTGGTTCTGCCCAGCACCGTAATCACCGAGAACAACGTTGGTGTTATCCCACTTGTCTTCTGGGTCATCCTGCCACTCGATGAGGGAAGGGGCGGCATCCACCAAGCCCTGGATGAAGCTGAGCTGCTTCTGACGGCTGAACTTGACCCCGTGTACTACTTCGAGTCCAGCCATGTGCCGAGCAATATCGCCACAATCGATTGCTTGTGTGCTGATGAAGGTCTTGAGCTTGAACGGTAGCTTGGTGGAGTCGAACAGGCTGGAGCCGGTGGAAACCGATTCGCGATGCTCGGTCTGAACTCGGATATCGACGCCTGCAAGGTTTCGGCAATGTCTGTACAGCTGCTTGAAACAGTGCTGTTGAGCTGGCGTAGGAATGGCGAGGTACTTGAGCGTAACCTTACTGCTGGCAAGAGCATCCAGGATCGAGCTAACGCCATCTTGGGTAACAAAGCCCTTCAGCACCACAGAGGAAAGCCGATTGTGAGATCTCCGCTGGCAGGTCTGAATAGCGCTGATGCAGGTCTCCAAAGTATCACGCAGCCAGCCCTGCGAGGAGCTGATATTCTTGATTCGCACGAACTCGAGCGAGCTCCAGAGTTCAGGAATGCCGTTCCGCCAAGCGTTGCAGGTGTTGGCCAGCTTGATGCGGTCAGACGCTGGGAGAAAGTCAGCAACGGTGATGATTACTTCTGACGGGAGCGAAGTGAGGCCAGCTGTGCAGCGGAGAAGGGGTCGGTTTCCTGCCTTCGATCGTTTGACCACAGTTCCTCCGAGAGTGTCCTCGGCGCTACGCTTGAGACCGGAGGGAGCGGAATTGGTGTCGATGTCCATGGCAGGGTTCTCATCGCGCGTCATTTCGGCATCCATAGCTGAGATGTCACTGCCAGCCAAGACGGGGAGAAGCTGATCGTCGACCTCAACGTCCGCATCACTGCCAAACCTGGCGGTGAGCTCGAAGATGCGCTTCGCGTCGGCTACGGCCAAGACAGCTAGACCCATTGCCTCGTAAGCAAGGAAGCGGTAGCGTAGACCAGCAGAAAGTTGGCGGACAGCGTCCACGTTTCCGTGAGCAGGGGCTCCCGCTACCATCTCGATGATCTCGGATGCGAGCTTCACCACCAGCTCGAGGTTGTTGTCACGCCATGCTTGAGGTAGGGTGGTGACGGGTTGAGACGGACGAGCGGTGTAGGAAAAGACGATTGGCTGGTCGTCCTCGACTTTGATGGCCGGTTGCGTGCTCGCCATGGCTGCTGAAGGTGTTGGTGATGATGGAGACGATGGAAGCAAGGGTCGAGAGACTGGCCTTGATCTTCACTCGCTGCCTCAGTCAAAAGGCTGAGTCGACTGACGTGCAGAGCGGTCAAATCAACATGAGGCTTCTTGGTTGAGGTGCACCCAGCCAGTGTGCGCTCAGGCCGCTTCTGGACGTGGCAGAGGACCGGTGCAGGGCGTGCATGGTGGGTTGTTCTCTCTAAGATCACAATTGCGCACTTCCCTTTGTCACAATTTGACCATTATTGACACGCGTAGAGACACATGCAGGTCCACTCTAATTGACAGCTGAGAATGCAGCGAGCAATCCGAGATCATGTCCTGCCAGCACGGCTACTGAGGTGCCTACTATTGATGTATCATGGAGTTGACCGATGATCCTACCTCGATCCTCTTTTTGTTCAGGGTGTGCGAGCGGGTGTGCGAGCGGGTGAAGGGCTTGTACGGTGGTCGAGCCTTTGTACTCGTCTGTATACTTGCTGACGACCCTCGCTCTCTCTCTTGACGAAGTTGGTGTATCGGCTGTGACAAGGCAGGAGCTACTTACACCCTCCCACAACGGCCGAGACAAGTCGGTCCTCGATCTGATCATGTGCGGAAAAAATATGCTCCGAAGTCGCTTAGGCCTGCGCTCGGAGCTCGTGTTTGCGAAGCTTAGATCCAAGTACTGGCTGTCTACTGTACGTGTCAGCAAATGCCTGGTCTCGGCGAAGCGTGTGCAAGCACAGAGGGTTCGCTCACCTCCTTGCCGGTGGTCGAACACGCCACTTCGTCTTAGATCGCTGGCGTCTTAGATCGCTGACCGATAAACTTTGAGTGTGATTATGAACACATCGAGCTCGGTTCACACTTCCAGATGAGCTGGCTCGCAAAGGAGAAGGTATAAGAGCGGCCCGGTTTGAGCCCTACACGCCAGACCCAGACTTCATCGCTATCAAATACCTCAAACATGCAGTGGATTTCCCTAGCAATTGCCGCCTTGGCAGCAACAGCAACAATCGCTATTGCTGCTGGCATGGAGCCAAGGACTCTCCCCCACCCAACCGAGGACCCTTTTTATAATGTGCCTTCTAACGTCGACTCTTATGACAACGGCCAGGTCATCATGTCTCGCAGAGTCAGCACCAGCATTGGTACGATGGAAAATGTTGCCTCACATCAGGTTCTCTACCGCACTACCAATACGCAGAACCATGCGTCGGCTACCGTTGCAACGATCTGGACGCCCAGCAAGCCCGTATCGCCGCCGAAGATCCTTTCTTATCAGTTGTACATGGATGCGACGCAGCTCAACTGTGCGCCCAGCTACGCCTTCTTGAGCGGGATCCACAACACCGAGAAGGCAACCACGATCCTCGACACGCCCATTGTCATCAGCTGGGCACTCAAGCATGGCTTCTACGTCGTGTCTCCTGATCACGAAGGTCCGCGATCTGCGTTCATCGCTGGATACGAAGAGGGCAGGGCCATTCTCGATGGCGTCCGCGCGTTGAAGAACTTTAAGGAGCTGCCTGAAAACAGCGCCGTGGGCTTCTACGGGTACAGTGGCGGAGGCCACGCAACTGCGTGGGCTGCTAGCTTGTCCGGTGGATACGCTCCAGAGCTCAACATCATCGGCGCTGCGTACGGCGGCGTGCCCACCAGTACCCGTATGATCGCCGACTTCCTGAATGGCAAGAGCGTCTTCTCCGGTTTTGCCCTTGCTGGAATTTCAGGTCTGGCTCGGGCCTATCCCGAGATGGAAGCTTTCATCCTTCCACGTCTCAATGCTGAAGGACAGAAGACTTTCGAGCGAATCGGATCTCGAGGCGAGTGTATTGCCCAGGTGGCCTTCGGCTACCCCCATCTCGACTTCTACACTCTGGTCAACGACACCAACATGATGAGCGAGGAGCCCATCAAAAGCATCTTGAGCGTCGAGACGCTCCTCAAGAGCGAAGCGAGCTACACGGTTCCCGTGCGGAAGTGGCCACGCTACATCTGGCATGCTCTCGAGGATGAGATCGTCCCCTTCGCGCCCGCATCACAGTACGTCAAGGAGCAGTGTGCCGAAGGCGCCGACATCAATTGGAACGTCCTTCCCGTCCAGGAGCACGTCTCGGCCGAGGTGACGGGCATCGCTCCCGCCATCGCTTGGTTGAGCGAGGCGTTCCAGGGCAAAGCGCCCAAAGTTCCATGCGGGGCCGGCAACCTTCCGGTTGCGCCATCAGTCAAAGAGGTGCTGGGGGACGATCTGGTGAACCACCTCCACAACCTTGCTGGGCAGGTGAAAGCTCATCTCTAGAACACGCCTTGAAGCGAGCTGTCTCCTGATCAATCACGCTGTAGAATGAGAAGCATGAGATCATGACAGCTGTCCAATTTGGGTACCAAAAGCGGTGTACAGGGTCGTACACCGCCACCTGTCTTTTCTCGCACACAACGCATGGTGTCTGGAAATGCCCTTGCATGGTCTGGGGACGATCGCATTGCGAATACATGGCACACAGCGGCACTGTTGTGATCAGCTGACGAATGATCTACCACGCACAGTGACCTCCATCGATACGAATGTCGGTGCCCGTCGTGTAGGAGCTAGCTGGAGTTGCAAAGTAGAGCACGGCGCCCTGGATTTCTTCCGGGCCGCCCATCCGCTGCAGGGCATTGTCGCCTTCCCATCTGTCCCTCAGCTCGGTCTGGCCGAGAAGTAGGCCGTCGGTCATCTTGCTCCGGATGTAGCCGGGCGAGATGGTGTTGACTCTCACGCCGTATTCTGCCAGCTCGACGGAGGCCGAACGGCAAAACTGGTGCACCGCCGCCTTGGACGAGTTGTACGCCGAGCAGAATAGGCCACGGTTGGCGATGAATCCAGAGATCGAGGCCATGAGCACGATGCTGCCGCCGGTTGTGTGTTGCTTCATGGCGAGAGCGGCGGCCTTGGTGATGATGAAGGTGCCGGTGACGTTGACGTTCATGATGCGATCCACTTCGGCAGCCGAGAAGTCGAGGATCTTGCCCTGCTTCATGATGGCTGCGGCGTGAACCACCGTCTTGAGCGGACCTCGTCCGTCGGCAATGCATTCGGAAGCGACGCGAGCAAACGTCTTGATCATCGCATCCTCGTCTGTGATGTCGGCGTGAATGTATTCGACTTGCAGACCGGCTTGCGAGGCTTGCTTGAGGAGCTGCACCCATTCGTCCTCGCCGTGACTGTCGGCTGGCGAGGGAAGGATATCGAGAACGACAAGGTGCGAGCCTACCGAGACCAGCGCCGACGCAAGGCTGAGCCCGATCCCTCGTGCACCGCCGGTGACTAGGCTCGTGGACCCCTCGAGAGAGTGCAGAGGATGGTGTATGTTGGCCGACACAACTGGTTGGACATGGGAGCTGGCAGCTGTTGGAATCGGAACCATTTTGATAGTCGGCGTGAAGAGATGCTGCTGATGATGATGATCGTGAAGACTGGTTCAGCTCGACCCCGGGTCTCTTTGCTTGGCCAGAAAGCCGTGCTGGCATCGACGACTCGATCGAGCATTGGCGGCAAGCACACGTTCCGAGGCGGCGACTGCGACACAAGCGAAGAGCAAAGTCTGTCGTCCTTGTGCTACTTGTTGCATAGCCGTCAACAGCCCGACCGCTCAGCAATGCGAAATGAGCTGCCCGAGGATTCGGCGTTCAATGTCAGCTTCGTAAATAAGACTCACAGACGTCTGACAGCGTAGTACCGGTCCGCCGGGCTGCCGACTGAAGCTGGACTCAACCGGCAAAGACGCCGTTGCACCTCTCGAAGCAATTTGCGGGGAGAGCGCTGTGGCGAAAGCGCGCCTCGGAAACGAGGCGAGTCGCCACCGTCTAATTTACGCAGCTCGCCTAGGCGGATAGAGTCAACGAGACAAGGCACATGTCACGAAAGCGTGGAGGGCCAGCCGGCCTGGACAGATGCCAGTCAACTTAGTCACGGGCAATGTGGAAGCGCCGTTGCACAGGTTGCAGAGTCCGAACTTGATGATGCTGGCAGCGATCCTCGAGATCTGACAGCTGTCCGGATTTGTGTGCCTGAATCTGCAAGAAGCTTTTCCGGCGGCCACGGTTTCATGCAGCTATCAAAAGCCGTCGAAGCAATTGGCAGCTCGAGTCACGCGCTCACCATCACATCTTCACCTGCTTGGTACCATTTAAGATCGCTGCCGAAGATGCCTGTAGGCACGGAGCGATCTCCACACACGCAAGATGTGCCCAACGATGGCAACCGACACACCTGGAACCGCGATGTGTACCTCCTTCTTGCAGCGCGCTTCGTGCGAATGACGGCGTTTGGATCCTCATCTCTCGTCCTGGCGCTCTTCCTCTCGAGTCTCGACCAGACGCCCGTACAAGTGGGCCGCTTTCTCACTCTCACGCTGGTGGGCGACTTTCTGCTCTCGTTTGTCCTCACTTTCACCGCAGATTCGCTACTCGGACGGCGCAACACGCTTCGGCTCGGTGCGCTGTCGATGCTCCTGTCCGGCCTGGTGTTTGCGACGGCTAGCAATGTCAATGTGCTTCTTGTCGCTGCGATCTTTGGCGTGATCAGCCCGTCCGGTGGGGAGATTGGGCCATTCAGGGCGGTAGAGGAAAGCATCCTCGCCGGGTTGGTGGACAAGCAGCACAGACCGGCGCTGTTTGGATCCTTCATCGTGACGGGAGCGCTTGCTGCCAGTCTGTCTACATGGCTCGGCGGGCTGCTCAACAAGCTAGTTGACGCAGACAGTCGAGACGCCATGATGTGGTACTACAGGTGCGTCTTTGTCGTGTACGCTGTGATGGGATTGCTCAAGCTTCTACTTTCGCTCTCACTCAGCGATCGCTGCGAAGTTCGCACGCGCGTCGAACCGCAGCCAGCAAGAGAGGCCGACGAGCGCGATCCACTGCTCTCGCAGCAAGCAGCAGACCCGCCAACAGCGGACACGCCGTTCAGCAACCGTCGGTTCGCTCTCCTCTGCACGCTCTTCGCCATCGACTCGCTCGGCAGCGGCATGGCTTCGCAAACACTCACGTCCTGGTTCCTCTCGCGCAAGTTCAACGCGGAGCTTGCGTCGCTCGGCAGCATCCTCTCTGCCGCGCTGCTTGTCTCTGCAACATCGAACCTCTTCTCTGCGCGAATAGCGAAACGACTCGGGCTCGTCGTGACAATGGTGGTAACCCACCTGCCCGCCAACATCTTTCTTGCAATGATCCCTTTGCCTTCGGGTCTGGGTCTCACATCGGCGCTGATTGTCGCGAGAGCAGCGACGTCGTCGATGGACCAAGCGCCGCGATCCGCTTTCCTGTCCGCCTTTGTGCCGGACCATCAAAGAACGAGGGTCCTCGGTCTGGTCACCACGGTACAGACGCTGGCTCAGTCAGGAGGGCCGTCGCTCACAGGTTGGTTCGCCGAGAAGGGGAAGATGGGCTGGGCATTCCATACAGCTGGCGCGCTCAAGGCGGGATACGATCTAGGACTACTTGCTGCTTTCTCTGCTGTCAACTGAACGATACATCAATGTCAGTCTGAGGCCTGTACATTGTATTGAGAGGAAGCTTGCCATCTAGACGCAGAGGTAGTGTATGTGTGATGTACGAGTAAGGCACAGACATCATTGCGGTGTGGAAGCGCCGTTGCAAAGGCCGACTTCGAGAAATAAAAATAAAATCAAAAATAAATAAAAAACTTCGCGGGCGTCAGCGCCACTAGAGACGATCACACGGATCAAACCATCAGACTAAGTGGCGTCAACTTTGTATTGAAATGGAGTCTCTTAAGCTACATCGTTCAGGCCTTGGGCAGCCAGATTGCCTGCAGCTGGGTATAGGCGGTCAGTCCGGCCCTACCGTGCTCGGCGCCAATACCGGAGCTCTTCATGCCGCCGAAAGGAACAGCAGGGTGGTGATGCACCATGCATCCTACCCAAACCGTTCCCGTCTCGATTTGACGAGCGATGCGCTCAGCCTGCTCGAGATCATCGCCCCAGATAGTCGACCCAAGCCCCCATTCGGAGTCATTGACACGCTTGAGGAGGTCGGCCTCATCCTTCCACTTGAGCAGCGGCACGATGGGACCGAAGGGCTCCTCCTGAACCAGTCGGCTGTCCTCGGGAGGGTTGTCGACGATGCTGAGAGGGTAGAAGTAGCCCAGCTTCTTCTCAGTCTCACCACCTGTGACAAAATTGAAGTTGCCCTTTTTTGCCTCGTCGAAGAACTCGCCGACCTTCTCGTACTGCATCTTGTTGTTGATGGGGCCAAAGGTGACGCCCTCCTCGTTACCGGGGCCGACCTTGAAGTTCTGGACGACCTTGGCAAGGGTCGCCTTGAATTCGTCATAGATGTCCTCGTGGACGTAGATGCGCTTAGCGGCGATACAGACCTGGCCCGAGTTGAAGAAGGCGCTGAGCAGAACATTCTGAGCAGCCTCGGCCATGTTGTTCTGCTTGGGCAGCACGACACAGGGGTCGTTGCCTCCCAGCTCGAGGGTGAATCGCTTGAGGGTGGCGGAGCAGCTCTTGGCCACAAGACGACCGGTCACGGTGCTGCCGGTGAAGGAGATCTTCTGGATCTTGGGATGCTCGGTGATCCAAGGTCCGAGGTGGTCGTCACCGACGACAATCTGGACGACACCGGCGGGGAAGAACTTCTGAGCAGCCTCGACGATTCGAATGTCACAGAGAGGCGTAAAGGGCGAAGGCTTGATGATGATACAGTTACCGGTGATCACGGCCTGCGAGATCTTCCAGATCATGAGCAGGATAGGGAAGTTCCAGGGGACGATGCCGGCACACACGCCGAGAGGGAGGTACCTCTCGATCGCCTTGTGCGTGTCGTTCTCGTGGACGACCCTCTCGTCGAGGCGAGTCTTGGCCAGGTCAGTGAACCAAGGCAGACTGCTCTGCACCTCGTGCTCAGCGAACTGGTGCGCTTTGCCCTGCTCGGCAGTGAGTAGCTTGACGAGCTCAGGGCCCATGGCCTTGAACTCCTCACCGTACTGCTCGAGCAGCTTGGCTCGCTCGTCCCACGAGGTCTTGGACCACGAAGCGAAAGCGGCGCGAGCAGCATCGACAGCCTGGTCGACGGTCTCCTTAGTGGCGATGGGCACCTGGGCGACGACCTTCTCGGTGGCGGGGTCGATGACATCGAGCATCTTGGCGCCGTTAGTGTCAACGGTCTTGCCGTTGATCACGTGCGAGAAGGGCGCATCGAGGAGTTTGGAAGCGACGCCGACAGCCATTGTAGTCAATTTTGGATGGAATACGGGAGGCACGGTAAAGGGGAGTGTTGTGAGGTGACGCCTGTTGACGGGGCAAGCCATTCCAGCATATATATAGTCTTTCTTCAAAGGGGACACAGACAGGCACGGGCCGACGACTTGGCGGAGAAGGACGCTCGAGAGCAGCAGCGCAGGGCTCTGTTGGCTCGGTCAGATAAATTGCCGAGCTATAGCAGTAGTGCGGGGTTGGAGGCGGTACACCACCGCTGAGGTCGCAGACTGCGCTAATGCCCGCACAAGACGCACTGCGGGCACCGCACGGATGGGCTCTTTGCCTCTCCGTGTTGGCCGCTCTGTCACAGACACGGGCTCCCAAGTTGGGCGATGTACCACGGACGGGGTAAGTAGGCCCCACCTGCAATAATTGACACAGACGCGCCACTGCGGCCAAGACCCTGGAGAGCAGCTTGCCGAGCGGTGACACACGGCCTTCGGACGTCGTCAATCCGCGCGGCTTGTCAGATCTCGTGCCTGAACACAGACGCCGGATCGACACACAGCCGAAATTTCCTCACTCGCTGTTAAGACTCGTACACCACCCATACACCACCACCTCTGCGTCTACAGTAGATTGCAGACTACCTCTCAATACAATGATGTGCCTCTCTGTGTGCCAGTCAACCTTGAAGCCGTGGTGAATTGCTCATACCGCTACTTCGATGGACAGACGGGCATCACCCGGCGAGCTGTACAGTCTCGACGGTAGCCACTTGCCTCGTGGAGTCTTGAGCAGCGCTCACGCTCATGCAAAGGCAGCGCCCGTACCCGCAGGTTCATTTGCGGGCAGCTGAGACACCACCAAGACGCCGTCTTTACAGCATGCTGCACTCAATCAGCGCTCTTATACGAGTCATCAACTGATACATCACTAGTACACTGAAGACGAGATGCTTAAAATTACAATCTTGCGGCCGATCGGGTCTAGCGTCGGACACTGCGACTTCGGCTCCTAACGCTGCCACTCCGAAGCAGCCCATTCACCCCGCCATTCAACCCGTTCGACTCCCAAACGCCCTGCATGACCCTCGTCACGCTCTCCAACCTCCCTGTCTGCATCCCCAGCGCGCGCTTCCTCGCCTCGTGCACCTTGCCAAAGTTGAACCTCCTCTCGCCGTACACGCCGTTATTGACCAGCAGCACCTTCTGCAGCTCATGCACCGCCAAATCGGGCAACAGCTTGGGCGTGATCAAAAAGTACTGGCTCGCATGAGGTTGGCACGTCAGCCCGACGATGTGGTTGTGCGTCACCCGCTCTGCGGTTGGGTCCATGCCCTGGTTGATCTCGTCCACCAGCGTGAATGGCGAGCGTGACAGCTGGAGGAGCGACATGATGTACATGATCGTGCTGAGCGTGCGCTCGCCTCCCGACTGGTGTTGGGCAGAAAGCGGGGCGAGCTCTTCGGCGTTGCGGAACTTGACCATGATCTCCAGCTTCCACTTTTCGAAGTCGGGATCCTCGACGATGCGCAGCTCGCCGGCGAGACCCATGTCGTCAAAGGCTCTGGTGAATTGACGCGAGACCTCGCCAATGACGCCGCGCAGGGTTGGCTCCCACTTGCCGCGCAGGGCGGTGATCTTATCGGTCGTCTTGGTCTGCAGATCGGTGAGGTCGGAGATCTCGGCCGTCATCGACGCGATCTCGCGCTGTCGCTCGCGGAACTGATCAATGACTTCTGGGCGGACACCCTCGGCGAGCTCGAGCTTGCTCTGCTCGGCACGCAGCTCGGCATTGAGTCGGTCGAGATCCAGCAATTCATCGTCATCCGGGTCGAGATCCGAGATCAGCTCGCCTGCCTCGTCGATCAGCCGCTGTACCTGGTTGCGCAGCTCGGTGGCTTCTCTGCGCGCGTGCGCGTGCGCTTTGGTCGCTTCCTCGAGTAATGTTCCTAGCTCGCGCTCTCCCTCCTCGAGATCGCGCAGCCGGTTCTCGAGACCAGCGGCCGTCGCGTCCCACTGCCACTTGCTGAGCGAGGCGATGTGCTTGCGGTCTGCCACCTTGGACATCTGCACCGTCTGGGCACACAGATCCTCCATCTTCTGGGAGCGACGCTGCGCCATCTTGCGCACCTCCTTCATCAGGCGGGCGCGCTTCTCTTCGGCGGAGGGCTCGCGTTCCTTGTCGCGCAGCTCGCGGCGACGGTGCTCGATGAGCGCGGACTCTTTCTCCCAGGCGCGCTGTGCGCCGACCCGGTCGCGCTTGGCGGCCTTGAGGTCGTTCATCTGCTGCTCCAGGCGCGCCAATTCGCCCTGGATAGATTTGTCCTCTTTGATGAGCTGGAGGGTTCTCCCTTCGAGCTCCTTCTTCTGTGCACTGAGCTGCTGGATCTGCGTCGTAAGCTGTCGCTGACGGTCCTTGTCGATGGCGTCGACCAGGTTGCGGGCGGGTCTGAGTCGGCGGGACATGGTTTGGCGGATGTTGTTGCCGTAGCGTGAGACATTGATCGTGAAGGACTCGCCGGAGGCGACGAAGCGCAAGAACTTGCCGGATCGCTCGATGCGCTCCACATCGGTGTTTTGGCTCAGTGTCACGGGCACGCGGTTGAGATACGCCTGCTTGCAGAGGAAAGCGAGCACGGCGGGCGGACCGTCGATGAGGTTGATGAGGTAGTCATCGAAGCCGAAGGAGGCCAGCTCTTCGCGCGGCACGTCGGGTCGGAGCATCTCCGGTCCGGACGTGAGCTGCGAGCCGATGGTGACGTGAAAGTCCAATTTGTCGTTGACTTCGCCGTTGAAAAGAAGGTAGTCTTCCTGCGTCTGGCATATAAACGTCTTTTGTTGGACCCACGAAATGGCGTTTTCGACGGCAGAGGCGTACCTCTGGTCCTTGAGCGAGATCTCCAGCAGTACTGGCTCGTGCACCGGCTTGCGAAATCGATGCTGGTTCTCGCGCAACCACAAGACGGCCTTGTAGGTACCCGAGTCGGCGTTGCGCAGCATCTCGAGTCGCTGTTGCGGCACACTGTCTAGCTGAGCTAGCCGCTGGCGACAGTTGTCGGTGCTCTTGTCGATGGTGTGGCTCTCGAGGTTGACTTCTCCGATCTGGCGCTGGATGTCGCCGCGGCGTGTGCTGAGGTCGTCGTACTTTTTGCGCTTGCCGCGAAACTCGGCTTCGATCTCGGCCGTGTCTTGAACACCTGGTGCTTCGCCGAGCTGCGCAGAACGGTCGGCGATCTCTTTGCGCAGCTCTTGCACTCGACGGGCACGATCCTGGTCCTTGCGGGTGAGCGTGCCCACCTCGGTCAACCTGGATTCAATCTCTTTTCCGACGTCCTCGACGTCTCTTACGAGAGTGCGACGCTTCTTCTCGTCGCTGCTGTAGACGTTCTCGAGCCGCTGAAGCTCGACTTTGAGCTTGCCCGTCTTGTCGTCGAGGTCCTTACGCTTTTGTCGGATGGGCTCGTTTCGCGCCATGGCCTCGGTCAGCTCTTGACGCTTCCTTTCGCGCTCTTGCTGCAAGTCGGTGACGTTCTGTTTGGTCCTGTTGTAGTCGGCCATGGCGATCATGACTTCAAGCTTCTCGATCCGGTGCTCGATCTCTTGTCGCTCTTCGAAACGTTGCACGTCGACTTGGAGGGCCTGGTTGCGCTGCTCGAGATGCGCTTTTTCCTCCTGCTTGCCCTTGAGCTGGTTGGCAATCTCTGCGGCTGCCTTGCCGTGCTGGTTGAGTTTTTCGTGCCATCGCACAAGTTTGGCACCGCCTACCGCCTTTTCGGTCTCGACCAGTCGCTTGGCGTCGGTCATCTTGGCGAACTCGTGCACCTTGTCTTGCGGGAGGAAGGAGCACAGGTTGCCGACGTCAATGTCGTATTCGGCTACCATGGCGAGCACGTCGGTCTTGGTGGTGGATCGACCGTTGACAGACCAGTCGCTCTTGTTGCTGGAGGTGGTGAGCGTACGTCGAATGACCGGATTGGCGGTGCCTGGCCTTGACTGCAGCTCTACCTCAATCCAGCCGTCGGTCTCGCCGCGCTTGACGAACGAGCCGAGGTGAGAAGCACGACCGAGCAGACTTGGATGACCCCCCAGACCGAGAGCAATGGCGCAAGCGATACTGCTCTTGCCGGTACCGTTGGGACCGCAGATAAGGTTGAGATAAGGGCCGACGCGGAACTCGACCGAGTCGTAGGTGAGAAAGTTGGAGAGTGCAATGCGTCGAATGGCGCCCGGAAGGTACTTGTCTGCGGAGCGTTGCTTTCGGGTATTCTGCTCCGCACTGTTGGCAGCTTCCAGGTCTGCGGGAACAATGCTCTCGGGAGGTGCGTCTGCAAGGTCAAGCTCGTCTTCGTCTTGTTCGCCTGGTTCCGCGTCGTCATCCGAGTCGACCAAACGCACGGCGTTCCGCTTCCGCCGCGGCGAAGGCGAAGGTGAAGTGCCATTGGTCATCTGCGACGATGTGCCTTCGGCTCGTCTGCGCTTGGACGGAGATCTCGATGGTGTGCGAGCTACATGTCGGCCATTTGCGCCCTGGATGCCATTGCTAGTAGAAGCAGTCGGCTGCGTGTTGGTTCTTGCGGGTGATGGAGACGGGAAGTCGGCCTCTGGAGAAGGGGAGCGTTTGAGCCCTCTGCGCTGAGACAAGTCCGCCTGCGACCTGGAGCGCTTCATGGTGGCACGACTGGAATTGGTCTCTTCGGTGAGCGCTTGACGAGACGATGACGTGCCAGCAGAGGGGCGACTCGACCCGCTATTGCGACTGCGCGAAGGACTTTGTGAAGTGTAGGGGTCAAAGTCTTGATCCTGGGAGGCACGGATGAAGGAGGAGGAGGGTAAAGCGGAGGAACGTGGACCCTTGACAGACATGGCGAGAGTCTACAGCCGCATGGCCGGCGCAATGGCTCGAGTGACGACGATTGATCGGTATGGATGCAAGTTAGACGCAGATGCCGATAGATGAATGCGATGATGAAGTGCAGATCTGAGGCGCAAATTCAGAAGCCGCGTTGCGCAACTGGTGGGGCGATCTAGATGCCCAGTTTGAGATACTACGAGGACTATGGACCGTTTGACTGGTTAGCGATGGGGTCCTGCGATGATGACGGTGGGGCTGAAGCGTGGCTGAGTCGATTGTCGGAGAGGCGATAAGGTGAGAGGCTGACAAGAAGATACGATCTGCCACAGGTCTCATCAAGCAGCAAAATTGGCGGTGCGGCAAGTACTCTTCTCGCGTTTCACCAAAAGTGCATTTGGCAGGCAGAGAGAGACGCGCTTTGGCGAGTGTTGGACTCGCAGGAAAAAGGTGCAAAGCGCGCTCGAACAAAGCTGAGTCTTCTTGAGAAGTAGGTGGAGACATCCACTTGACCAGTGTCGGTGTTGCTCTCATGGGCGCCATACGCGTAAAGAGCATCTCGCTCAGCCTTTCACATCATCCCAGAAAGTGGGCTTGCATGGCAGTGACCTTACATATGATCAAACGGTCCTATTTCTTTCGATTGCTCGCCTTACAGCTACACCTACAGAAAGCGCCTCGAACCACTGCCAAAACGATCACCAAGAGTGTTGGCATCGGCCACCATCTTGCCCCTCTTCTTCTCGTCCATCAGTCTGCCACCGACGCTGAGCGCCGCGTCGCGATCCCAGATCATCGGAGCCGCCGCTTTTCCGGACCTCACCTCCTCCTCTTCCCTCTCCTTGCGTGTCTTTGTGCTTTTGCGTTCCTTCCCACGTTCTCTGTCATCATCCTTCTTGTCGCGGCCTCGTTCGGATTCCTTCCTCTTGCGACGGTCCCTCCGTCTCTGCTCGTCATCGGAAGTGTCCGCGTGGCGTCGTGAGCCGTGAGAATGATGCGAGTCATCCCGTCGGCTGCTCCGGTGGCGGTGCGAAGAAGTGGAAGCGCCATCGCGGTCTCGTGATCTGTGATTCGAGTCGGGCGACCTCGACCGCGATCGGTGTCTACTCCGACTGTCGCTGTGACTGTGTCGGGAGGAGCGTCGGTCATCGTCGTGCCTCCTTCGCTTCTCTCTCCGCCTCTCTTCCCTCGCCTCATCCTCCAGTCTGTCCTTCAGCTCTCGTCTTCGACGTTCGTTATGCTCCTGCACGAGACTCTTCTTCCCGCTTCTGCCATCCGCGACAGCTGCAGCGATGCTCGAGTCCCGCCTAGCCGTCCGCTCTCTCTCGAGCGCTTCCTTGTTGCTGATGGCTGAGGCGCCCTTGGCTGAAACACCAGACACTTCGTCCTGCATCCGCTTCAACCTCTCTTCGGGCGTCTCAGTCCACAGACTCGTATCTGCATCCTCGACCGCGCCTCCTCCACGCGCCGATACGCGGGGCGTCGACTGTGCAAACCCGCGCGATTTCAGGTTCAGTGGGTCTCCTGCGACCGCCTGCAGCGACGAGGCGTTTGATAGAGATGGTGGTAGGAGCATCCATTCCGGTCGAGAATTGGCGGCTCTTTCGGCGGCGAGGCGCGCTTCTTGCTCGGCTGCATTCTTGCGTGCTTCTCGCTCGAGGAAGGCTCGCGCGCCATCGTTGAGGCCGTGAGAAGGTGGCGCGTTGGATGGAAGGACGGGACCGACGGAGGGCCCGTCTTCTGGAGAGAGGCTTCTGGAACGAGAGCTGGATGCTGAGTCGGAGCGAGACCGTATGAGGTCAGCTGGTAGCTGGGGTCCCGCAGCTGCAGGTCGTATTGATGGACGACTCGATCCCTCCGAGCCTGAAGGCGAGGGAGATCGAGAAGACGAGCCCGAGTCCGATCGTGACCGCGATCTTCTCGATGGCTGAGCCGTTGGAGGCAGCTGCGGCCCAATTGTCGACATCTTCCCGCTCCTCAATGTGAGGTTGACCCTATCAGCCTGGTAGTGGTGGATGGCGCAGACTTCCTCAGACCCTGTCAAGGCGAGCTTGTGTGGAGTTTCTGGCCAAAAAAAGTCGACCGAATTCCGAACCTCTCGAATCACTTCTTCCTGCGTTCACAACTTGACCTTTCTACCTTCAATCATATCACAAGAGCATGGAGGCTCGACCAATTACGATGGGCGACAACGCATCAGCAGGGCCCTCGTCCCTCCTGCCCTTCGGCTGGACCTCTCACATCAGCCCAGCAGGTCGCACCTACTACCACAATGCCGCCTCCGGCAAAAGCACTTACATGTTTCCCACGCCAAAGCGCGAGAAGCCGACCTCCAAGACCGCCATCCCGCACACTGTGGGCTGGTTCAAGGTCACCACGAACAGAGAGAATGTGTTCTACTTTCATCCGGACAGCAAGAGGAGCGAATGGATCCCCCCGCCAGAGGTGAGCTCAGCTTTGAGGCGGGTCGAGGAGGAGGAGGCGAGCGAGAAGGAGAGGGTGAGGAGGGAGCAAGAGGACAGGGAGAGGGCGGAGAGGGAGAGAGCGAGGCAAGAGGAGCGCGAGAAGAAGAGGAAGGCGGAGGAAGGCGTGCTGATCACCGAGTTTGATGCATCCAAACGGGCGCGCGCGGACGAGGAAGAGGAGGACGAGGAGTCGATAGCGTCGGACGAGGAAGCGCAGCCACCTGTCTACAAGCCAGATGCACCGCAAGACGACGAGTCGATCCCAGAAGAGGAAAACGACGACGATGCCGACGACGAAGAAGAAGAGTGGCAGCGTCAGATGGCCGAACAGATGGCGGCCGAGGCAGAGGCAGAGGCCAACGCAAATGCAGACCACGAACCACATTCTCGTCCCGACGACGCCTCGTCTGACCCAGCAACTCAACCACAAGCGCCACCTACCACCCTCGAAGATCAAAAGCTCGCTTTCACAACCCACCTCACATCGCTCAACAACACCCCGCACGAAATCAACCCCATGGCACCGTGGGATCTCGAGTCACTCAAATTCTCCACCCACCCATCCTTCCTCGCCCTCCCATCGCGCGATAGGGAGGACGTCTTCAACGAGTGGTGCAAGCTTCGAATACGCGAGAAGCGGGCTGCCAGATCCGCTGCCGCCTCGTCAACCACCACTGCCTCCCCATCCAGGGCCCCTCGCGCGGACCCACCCAGCGCAGAGAGCACCTTCCTCGCGCTGCTCCGAGCAGAAGTGCGATCGACCCGAACAAAGTACCCCGATTTCAAGGCGGCCTTTTCGCGCGACCCGCGCTTTACCTCGTACAGCCGGGACGCAGACCGCGAGCGCCTGTTCAAGCGACACCTGTTCGAGCTGGGCGAAGAGAAGCGGCGCGCGGCGTCGAAAGCTGAGCGCGAGTTTCTCGACCTGCTCTCCGACCGACTGCCGGGCAACTATCGTGGCAAAGTGGTCGGCGCTGATGGGGTGAAGGAGAAAGTGATGGAGGTGTGGACCGAGGCCAAGAGGGGGGTGGTGGAGGATAAGCGCTATGATGCAGTGGGAAGCTCGACGCGGCGATTTGAGCTGTTTTGCGACTGGGCCAAAGGCGAGCGTCGTGCACCACCCACCGCCCCCGCTTCCAGTCGTGCGAACGGCACCTCCACGGACGCCGCCACTGGCACGAAAGAGCAAGACGACGCCTCGTCGCGAGCACGCGAGAAAGAAGCAGCGAGAGCACGCGCCCTGCGGCAACGCGAAGAGGCGGTTCGTCTGGAACGCAACCGGCTCGCGCGCGTCAACCGCTCGGCTCTGTCCGCTGCGACGCGCGAGGAGTCGCTGCTGTCGTTCCGCCAGTTGCTGCTGGATGCGGTGCACAGCCCGCACGTCTCGTACCACTCTGCTGTGCCGCAGTTGGCACGCGATGGACGCTTCGATGCGCCCGGTTTGACGGACGGCGATCGCGAGCGGCTTTTTGCGGAACACCAGGAGAGGCTGGGTGAGAAGGAAGGGGACCGGATTGGGTTGGTGTTTGCGAGGTATGCAAAGACGCTCGATACGCACCGGGACGATGTGCTCGCGCAGACGGTGGAGGACGAGGCCCTCGCGCATCCGCCACTCAACGTCTATCGGGAAAACAGAGGGCTGTTGGAAACCGCGTACGATAGGTGGAACGCATCTCGGCAGGCAGACGCGGAGAAGTCGTTCAAGGAGATGCTCCACGAAAGCGCATTCGTCGACTTCTGGGGCCGACTCAAGAAGCAGGCCTCCACGATGGAGCCCTCCGCCAACCCCAAGGAGGAAGGGGAGGAGGACGATGAGGGGGAGGGAACGACGCTCGTCGACATGGCAAGGAAGGTGGATCTGAGGGAGATCGAGAGTGTCCTGCGCAACGATGCGCGGTTCAGAGCGTGGAGACATGCGCCGGAACAAAGGCAGAGGTGGATCAGGGAGCATCTGATGGGATTGGCGGCGCCGGCGAAGAGCGTTCATCGTTGAGCCTGTTGCAAATAGCAAACGTCAGACTCGAACACACAGTGATTGCATCAGGTGCCCCGCACAGCATCACATCGAAAAGCCGTACAATGGTATCAGATTATCGCGCACATCGTCATTCCATATCTACAATCTAGTTCTTGACGCTCGCCCTCTCAGCCTCGTCGATCCGCTTGCCCAACCGCGCTCCCAACCCAGCATAGTCGCTCGGCCTCACGGGCAGCAACCACTGCTTGACGGTCGCCCACCTCCCCAGCCCCAACCCTACGTCCTCCAACGTATCATCGATCGAGTGCAGACTGAACGGCACGAGGTTGGTTCCATGTGCGTGCTTGCCATTGCTCCTCGCGTCGAGCCAGTCGAATTTTGCCTGAGCTGCCTGCATCATTTCAGCCTCCGATGGCAACTCGGTAAGCCCAGCGAGGTGGGCGGAGATCCACAGTGCCGCCGCCTCGCTCGACGTTGGGCAGAAGAGACTCGAATTGTACCCGTTGAAGGTGAGGTTCGGTACGCCAATCGGCATGATATGCTTGTGGAGCAAAAAGTTGCCGTTCTCGTCGAGGAACTTTTTCTGCACATCCACGGACAAGAACGGCACGTCCTGGTGAAAGCCGGTTGCGCACACCAACAGATCGCAGGGCATCTCGGAACCATCCTTCAGCACGGCCACTGGTTTGCCCTCAGGGGTTTGGGTGAGGTGGGCGATCTCCGAATCGCGCGCAACACGCACCTTGCCCGCTTCGATGTTCTTATACAGCCCTTCGGTGGAGAGCGAGATGGTGCTGCGTGCGATTTCCTCGAATGGCCCTTCGGGGACGAGGCCGAGATGGGCGAGTTTGAGTTGACCGGTGACGACCCATTGGAGCGAAGAGAGCATGCCGTTGCGGATGAAGCGGCCCGAACCCGAGTTGAACCAGCGCTCGAAGCTGGAGGGGGTGATGTATTCGAAGAGCGATTCGCCGAGGCGGGTGAGGAGGAGGTACTGGTAGGGGATGCCACGGATCATGCGGGGCAGCTTCCAGATGAGACGGCGCGCGACGAGGGTGGTGGACTTGGCGTTGGCAGAGACGGCGTTGGCGACGTCGCACGAGGATTTGCCGTAGCCGACGACGATGACGTCTTTGCCCTGGACGGTTTCGGGTTCGAGACCGAGGTCGGACGAGTGGCAGATACGACCGCCAGCGGCTTCCCATTCGTCGACACCCTTGTAGTCTGGGATCTTGCCCCTCGAGAAGGTACCCGTGGCGACGACGAGGTGGTCGAACTCGTGCGTCTCGGTGCTCGAGCCTTTCTTGGTGGTAATCTCCCAGCCGTCCTTGGTGGGGTCAGCACGCTCGACGCGAGTTCCGAAGCGCATAAGACGTCGCAGATCGTGCTTGTCGGTGTAGGCGTCGAGGTAGTCCTGCACCTGCTGGGCGGCGGGCCAGGTGGGGTAGTGACGCGGCATGGGCATGTCCGACAGGCTGTACGTCTCCTTGGAGTTCTGCGTGGCGAGACCGGGGTAGCGACGCGCTTTGGACCAGACGCCGCCAACGTCGTCGCACGCCTCGAAGATGGTGACGTCGTGACCATACTGGGTGAGGTACTTGGCGGTTGAGATGCCGGAGAAGCCGGCTCCGACGATGGCGACCTTCATGATGGGCGTTGGCAGGTGGGCGAGAAGTGGGGGCGGGATTGTCTATGAATGATGGTGGTGGCGAGAGAAGAGCCTTGGGGAGGAGGGGAAGCAAGGTGGTGGTGCGGAGAGAGGACGGCTATATACAATGCGGTTCAGCGGCTGATAGGAGCAGAAGCGCGCGGCAAGTGCGAGCGAGGTGAACGGCGGGCTGTACCACCGTGGGCGAACGAGGGCGAACAAGCGAGCGTCGAGGACCCTCATGGCTCGTTGTTCGTCCGCGCTCTTGACCGGCGTCGAGACCCGCCGAGGACCTCTTTGTCCTGTCAGATGGGGGATCTTGGCTATCTCTCTTTCTCCCTTTGCATGCCATGAAATCTTATCGCGCATTTTAGGGTTTAGGTTTGCTCGAACCAGGCACATGGCCAGTGTTGACGAGACCCTTGTTACTGGCAGTTCTTCTAGCGAGCCTATGCGGGGAAAATGGCCGAGAGAGGCTCTGCGGCCCAATCATGGAGTTGCATTTTGATTTTGCTGCTGCACGAGACCGATAGCGGCTACCCACTTGGTAGCACCATCGAGGTCGAGTGTGGGCTCGGTATGAGGGCTCATCTGCATGGCATGCGAGCTGCAGGACTAATAAGAGGTCACGCGGCCATCGTGACACCACCGTGGGCAAGCCGTCCACCGCGTGACAACAGGAAAAGATAAGGCGGATGCGCCGAGCGGACGTCGACCGACAGCTCTCCCACGGTCTGATGGTGAGCCCCTTGCGATGGTCGGAAGCAGACCGAGCAGGTGATATGACAGCACAGGACGCAGCGGCTATGCTGCCGGGTGAGCAACAGAAAGGGGAGCAGCAGCTGGACACGGCTGTCCCGATAAGACGCGTGGACAGGAGCCGGTCCGCGGGCGCTGTCATTCGTATCTCCCTGCCACTCGGCCCACGCCTGATGGGCTTCTTTTCGTGTGTGCGATCCTGTTAACGCCCATTCAAAGGTTGTTCGATGCATCGCTTCGGCATGTGCGTCTTTCAGGAAGCCAGACCTGAAGCTTGCATGAGATAGTTGCCGCAAAGCCAGCGGCAGATGAAGCAAGTGGAATTGCACGGGCCAAGGCCGCTTCAGCTTCAACGTGGGGAAATTCATTCTTCTCGATGGCTTGCCTTGGCGTGCAGTCGAACAATCGACGACAAGAACATAAGACTTGGACCCTTGCCACTTCTACCTTCTCGATCCACACGGCTTCTTGTCAAGCAACCACTCCGCCGCATCTCACCAACACAGCAAGCACACAACACCATGGCCATCGTCAGACCCAAAGTCTCGGAGGACGGCACCTGGCACTTCTTTGATGGAGCGCTCAAGACCTACTTTGTCTCGTCCGACTCGGAATCCTTCACTTCGGGCCAGATCTTTCGCGCCAAAGACCCGCATTCGGGCGTAGGCAGGAGCAGCACGGCTACACCGCCCTACCACATCCACCTCTACCAGGCCGAGGTGTTTGACGTCAAGGAAGGCACGCTATGCTACCTCATCGATGGCAAGCAGGGCAAATTGCAGGCGGGGCAAAAGGTCAACATCCCACCCTACCGACCCCATACCTTCTGGTCGGATCCAGAGAGTGGCAAGGATCTGCACGTTCACATCACCGTTCGAGGTGGTCCCAATCCTGGCTTTGACGAGGACTTTGTGCACAACTTTTACGGTTACCTCAGCTCGCGCACCATGGCGGGCAAGGCACCCAACCCGTTCCAGATGCTGCGCTTCTTGGACGATGCCGATGTGATCCTCGTACCGCCTCTTCCGTTGTCGGGTCTGTGGCGTGCGGTGGGTCTGCTGTGGCCCATCGGCCAGGGCATCAACATTCTGTTCGGCCGCATCATCGGAGGATGGATCTTGGGCTACCCTACGCGCTACAAGCAGTTTGATGACGAGGTGTCCAAGTGATATCCACATTGCTCAGCATAATGCACCGTCTTGCTTCCAGTATCGTAATGCAGCTTTCTTCACAGCCTCCTGGTGTGCGGATCGAGGGCGAGAGGCAGCGAGTCTAGCCCGCAATGCTGAAAATGGAGAGCAGTTTGTTAGATTGGATCGAAAGGCGAATTCGCCGATGTGAGTGAGATCCCGATACGGGTCCAGCTTCGGCCAAATCTTCTTCGCGTGTGCTCTACACTCGTGAAGCATGTCAAGGAAGCGCCTGGGTCAGTGGGTGTCTACGAGTTGCTAGCTTCATCAGCGTGATGACTTGCAACCTCGGGGTGCCGTTGTACGTGTGAGACCGCCAGGACAAGGTGGGACAGCAAATGGCGACGCCTGATCGGACATCTCTTTCTCTGTGCGTGTTGCTTGGCTGGCGGGCGGGCGGGCCGAGGTTTTTTGTGTCACTTTTGCAAAGCCGAGCCAACGTTGTTTGCGAGGTCGGCTTGTGCGGTTGCGGCGTGGGAAACCCATCATCAAATCACAAACGTGCCTTCTCTTGTCGATGCAATTCAGGGGCCGAACAGGATTCAAGTCGATTTCCAAAATGTGAAGTGTGACTTCTCGAAGAAAAGGCCCAAGGCACGATCAAGCACAAGCGACAGAGCTGCTGTCGGCTGTGTGTGTGATCAACCCAAGCCACATTTGCTGTGGTACAAGCATGGACTGGCGTTGCTCTTGAGCGGTCACAGCAAGGGCCCTTTGCTGCTGCTGTGGGATGGAGTGGCAGATGCAGGTGATCAAGCTACAAAAAGATGATTTTTTTGGTTTGTCGGTGTCGGGGTGTGCGAGTGCGTGTGTGTGTGTGTGTGTGTGTGTGTGCCTGTCGGTGCCTGTGTTGGACTGTGCCTTGAAAGAGTGAGAGTTGCGTGCGGCTCATGACTTCCAATCGGTTGACGAGTTCTCGTCTTCCTCCACCAACACCAATCCTTCAGCTTCATCCTTCCTCCCTTCCTTTCTTGCTCTCCCCCTGCAACAACAGCACAGCTCTGTCGGACACTTATCTCCCCTTCCCTACACCTTCTTCAGGGATTGGACGAGATACTGTAGAAGCCGAGTACACGTTGCATCTTCTTCACCGCCATCTTTCCACCACACCTCACCATCGCACAGGCTCGGTCCGACCTCGCCTCACCGTCGACCCTCCAGCCATCCATTCTGGCATCTTCGCACCTCATCAACTTCTTCGACAAGCTCCGTCGGCCATTTCGAGCCACCACTGCCGAGCTCTTCCTCTGGGTAAGTTGCTGTTTGGTTCCTCGCTCCTCTACCTTGAACCACTTGGCTCGTCCTCGCACGCCCTCAGCTCCATCGCTGCAAGCAAGCTCGTCGAAGCAGTCGTAGCTCGCCTCTCGCCGCTGCATCCTCGGTTGCTCGCCGCCTGCCCGATTGCTTCCTCGCCATCTTATAGCTTGGCTTTGCAGCTCCCTGCCGCAGCTCCGTCCCCGGGCGGAGCGAGCCCGCAATCGTCCGCAAGTCAAGCCTAATCACAGCGGTCTCATGGACAGTTCGCTGACATTGTTTGCCTCTATCTCTGCCCTGCATCTGTCCTCGTCTTGCCTCCGCTTCAATCCCTTCAGCGTCAAAACGTTGCTTCACCGCGCACTGTAACATTACTTCCTTGCGGACAACATCGGCAGCCTCTCGATCCGATCGCAACTCTTCGCATGGACCTCAGCATCTGATCACCAATACCACCATCGCATCGTAAGCATCTCGTCAGCCGCCACAGCTCCGCCTCGCCTAGCTTGCTCACCTCTGTCCAGCCCTCATTGCCTTCCTCAACAGTTCCGTCCCTTGCATACCATTGTACAATCCTTGTAACACCACTTCTGCAACATACACACACAGACCACCATCATCGACACACCAGACAAATTCTCGCCCTTCTTCTCCTCGCACAACGTCATCGAGCCACACCATCACCACCTCCGCATCCACCTCTATCAGCTCCACCGAACAGCGTATCCAAACGCTTCAGCACACCATGTCTTCTGCTGATCGAGGCAGCTCGGCTGCCGGTGCTGCTACCACTGCAGCTGCCGAGTCCAACCCGGGCTCGGTCTCACTCTCCGAATCCACTGCTTCCATCACCCAGGCCTCTGGAGCAGAGACGGCCACCACATCCTCCTCCCAGTCCCCCGTCCAGCGACCGGTAGATGCAGCAGACGACGCAAAAGGCGAAGCTTCCGAGGCCGATATCCAGGCTCGCATCGATCGAAAGCGTCAAGAACACGAGCAGCAGCGCGCTATGCATCAAAAGGCTTTCGAACAGCAGATGGCTCTCCTCGAAAAGCAGCAGCGCGAAGAAGAACAGACTCTCCTTTCGCAGCGTTTGTCAGGCGGCGCTGCTGCCGCCTCCGCCCCCATCACTCCACCCAATGGCGCTGTTGCTGCTGATCCAAAGACGGCGGCAGACGCCGCCGGTGTTGGTCAATCTGTTCCTACGTCCCGTCGCCAGTCACGCTCGGCTGACGAGCTTGCCTCTGCTGTCGGCGCCATGTCCATCACTGGCAAGGATGGCATCAACAGCAAAGGCGACAACGCGACGCCCGTCTTCAACGAGCAATTCCTCTTTGACGACGAGCTGGACAACGAGGACTCGGCTTTCGTCAAGAAGTACAACCTCAAAGGCAGCGATGATCAGTTCCCCGTCCTCGTTCAGCGCGGCGTCGCCGCAGACCAGAATGCTGCTCGCGGTGCGGACTGGCCCAAGTTCGGCAGCGGTGCTGGCGCTGGTGGCGCCGCTCGCGCTGCGGGCGACACCAGCCAATCTTCGCTACGCGGCTCGGTCACCGGCAAGTCGCCGCCTCCTCCCTCAGGTCAAGGCACGCCCAACATGGCTTCTTCCTTCGGCACCAGCGCCGGTCGTCAGCAAGGCGGCTTCCCTCTTCCTTCGCCCTCGCCTCGTCTCCCTCAGACGGGCCGTGCGTCGCCTGCCATCAATGCTGCCACCTTTGCGGGCGTTGCTTCGCGACAGGTCAGCGGACCTGGCTCGCCCTCGCCGGGTCTCGGTGGTCTCAGCGGCGAGGTGGGTCGTACCGGAGGTGGATCACGCTTCGTCAACACCGCCGTCCCTGCTGCCGCGGCTGGCCTCAAGAACGCGGGTGGTGCGGCCAGTGGAGCCGCTGCTTTTCCCAGCTTCAACATGAGCGCCTTCTCGGGTGCGTCGACAGGCAGCGAGAGCCCCAACCGATTTGGAACGTACTCTCCCAACAACTTTGATGCTGCTGGCGACGCTCGACCGGGCAGCCGACCTTCGTCGGGTTTCTTCGATGCCTTCAACCCCACTGCAGGTGCCAATGCGCCCGGCTCGCTCTTCCCTACGGACAAGTACTCGATGGGCATGGCGGGAGCGGACGAGCATGGCCTTGGACCTGGCGCTGCTAACGCCGCGCTAGCCAAGCATGGACGCAAGGGGGAGCTGGATGCCACTACGCAGCTCGAGGATCTGCAGGGCGACATCTTCGCGCTGTGCAAGGATCAGCACGGATGCCGCTTCCTGCAAAAGAAGCTGGAGGAGACCAACCCTGCTCACCGCGACATGATCTTCAGCGAGACGTTCACCCACTTTGCCGAGCTCATGACGGATCCCTTTGGCAACTACCTGTGCCAGAAGATGCTCGAGTTCTGCACGGATGAGCAGCGCGATCTGATCGTCGAGCTCGTTGCGCCCGAGCTGGTGACCATCTCGCTCAACATGCACGGCACGCGCGCTGTGCAAAAGATGATCGACTTCCTCTCGACACCTCGTCAGATCCACGCTATCATTGTGGCCCTCTCGATGAACGTGGTGACGCTCATCAAGGATCTCAACGGCAATCACGTGGTGCAAAAGTGTCTCAACCGTCTCAACGCCGAAGACAACCAGTTCATTTACAATGCTGTGGCTGCACACTGCGTCGAGGTGGCTACGCACCGCCATGGTTGCTGCGTGCTCCAGCGTTGCATCGACCACGCTTCGGAAGCGCAACGCGTCCAGCTGGTGGCCGAGATCACGTACAACGCGCTGACGCTGGTCCAAGATCCTTTCGGCAACTATGTTGTGCAGTACGTGCTCGACCTGAGCATTCCACGCTTCACGGATGCCGTTGTCCGCCAGTTCGTGGGCAACGTCTGCCTGCTCTCGGTGCAAAAGTTCAGCAGCAACGTGATTGAAAAGTGCATCCGCGTTTCCGAGCCTGGCGTCCGAAAGCAGCTAATCGAGGAGCTGCTCAACCGGACCCGCTTGGAGAAGCTGCTGCGCGATTCGTTCGCCAACTACGTGGTGCAGACCAGCCTGGACTATGCCGATCCTGTGCAGCGTATGCGTCTGGTGGAATGCATCAAGCCCATTCTGCCGGTGATCCGCAACACGCCGTACGGAAAGCGGATTCAGAGCAAGCTGCAGCGCGACAACCTGGATCTGGGACCACCCAACGGAGTGCCATACTCGGTGCTGCATGCTCACCAGCAGCAGCTGCACGCTATGGCGGCCATGGGCGGTGGCGGTGCGGGCGGTGCTCGAGGCAATGTGGGCTACATGGGCTACCCTCAGGGCCACCAGATGGCGCCTCCGCCCCCTCACATGCACCATGCGCACCAATATGGGCACCAGCAGCCCATGTACGGTGGTCGCGGAGGTCATCACGGTGGTGGGCACAACCTGCCGCCGCCCAACTTTGGACAGGGCGGCGGTGGTGGTTACGGAGGAGGGTTCAACGGAAACCTGCCGCCTCCGATGGGCATGCAGCAACAGCCGGGAGGACGCAGCCCGGGTGGCTTTACCAACAGCGGCGCTGCTGCCGGGAACGGTGGTGCCGGTGGCGGATACGGAAACTACTAGCTTCGCCGCTCGCGTGTCAGGAACGGACCTGGACGCCACCAAGACCACAATTCTCTCAACCCATCGCACGCAAAGGCGATGGCCGGATCTCTTTTCGACCCTGTCCCTTCAAGGCATGCTTCTCTCTCTTTCACATTGTCTCTCGATCTCTACATATACAAAGTCTCAACGTCGCACCAACCTCATCTGTACAATGCTCATTCAAGATTCCCGTCATCATCATGATCAAGCTCATGCTCACGTCCGCTTGTACGGTGAATTGCCGTTGTCATTATTATCCACTTCAATGTTCTATAGATACGTCTTCAACCATGTTCCTACCGTGACCTGAATTGGGTGGGCTGTGACGAGATGGAAACATGAGCCTCGACATGGTGGGCCGTGATGATGGCGAGGCTGCTTTTTACGGTCACCTTTTTCTCCGCGAATTTTTCCAGCTTGATTTTTGTTTTCCGGGATTACGGGATGAGCCCGTGCACAGGAAAGCTTCATGTCTCGCACGCAGACGCCCAACGGTGAGCCGTCACGTTGACCGGTTTTGGGCGGTGTGTGAACTCTGAATCCAGGGTCCAAGAAACCGTACGACTTTGGCCTGCTTCTTCGATTCTTCCCACAACGACGGACGCAGGACACTGTGTTACTATTGCTGTTGCTTGGTCAACGCTGCCTCTACGTAGCTGAGTGAGGTCGTTGGATGGACCTCGACAGCCTTGCTGTACAATGAAGAGGGGCCGTGTCGAAAGGGGCACGGCGACCTTATTGAGGATGCTTAGCTCGCCGAAAGGGGCAGGAGACATCCGATGCACCGTGCTGTTTTCCCGCCAAGCTCTCCTCATCGGAGAACCCTTTGGCATAGTTCGCACGCTCAGTCGGCGCAATCCGAAGTGCTAGCTTCAGCTGTCACATGCATCTCGACGCTCGAGCGCTAAGCTTGTTGCAAAGAGTGACTCTGAGCATCGCCTGAAGGGATGATGGACTGGTTGCCAAGCGGCGTGCCGTCCCTCGATGCCGAGGGAACAAGGCGGGCGGCGTCAGGGCGTGGGCTCGGCGTAGAGATTGGCGGACTCGCTGGTCTGGACAAAGGGGACAGCCAGGCTCCGGACCGCGTCGACCCTTTTGTCAAACATCAACACCGACCGATCCCTGCCAAACTTGCAGCCTCGTCAAACCTTATACATCCTTGGATTGCCGTCTTTCTCTGACACTAACTGAGTCGGCAAACACCACACCATTGTCTTGATATGAAAGGAACCTCGTAGCCTTGATACGGCTGCCTATCGAGATGAAGCCGCGGGATGCAGTCAACGTCAATGGACCACCGACGCTCATAGGGCTCCATCTTGGGAAAGTGAGTAGGATAAGGCCAACCCACACCGAGAGAGACAAAGTGTTGACTTGTTCTTGGCAGCTCAGGCCCGCCCAAAGGTGAAGGATCTCGGCATTTTCCTGGCTCCCCGTCTCTCCGTCGGTCGGTCGGTGGCCTTACCTTACGCTGTTTTGTGGCGTCAGGCGTCGATTTGACACGAGATAGCCGGCTGAATCGGCTGGACGGCGGAGGTGTGGGTTGGGAAAAGCCAAAAAAGTGTGTGAGACTCTTGCAGCTCGCTTAACTACGCGCTGCAGTCACTCCCTGAATCGAGGCTCTGACTCTCCCTGCTGCTGCTGCTCGAAAGTCCACTTTGTCCGGTCCCGACCAGCTGACCACGCTTCGTTCGGCCTGTTCCCTTTGTCCTCCCCGACGACTAGAATCGGCCTTCACCTCGAGCTCGACAGCTTCTGGTTTGCGCAGACATCAACGCTGGCCTCTGCCTCCACCATATCACACACTTCGACGTCGGCTTGGTCCGTTGTCACCCACACGTCAAGTACGCTCCCGATCCGCCGGTGTAGTAAGCACCCAAAGTCGGTACCGCCGAACACTCGTTCCAGCATCATCACTGTCAGCAGCACGTTCCCACCCAAGTCACACTCTCCATCTCGCACATGGCCGGAGCCGCGCAGTCGGATCACCCTCGAGTAGTTCCATCACACATATCACATTAGCAGTCACGAGCTCAAGCCATCGTCGAGCATCTTCTCGCTCCTTCTATCATCTCTCCTTGCTCCATCCCCCCCC